GGTGAGTGCACGCACCCTATAGCAAAAAAAAAAAAAAGAAAAAAAGAAAAGAAAGAAAAACCACAAAACACTGACTCAGTACCTACCAGAAATTCCTAAGTGTCAACCACGCTTGATCTTTTTTTTTTTTTTTTTTTTTTTTTTGTGGGGCTCTCTCTAAAAGGGGGGGGGCCTCTCGCTATAGGGTGCGTGCGCTCACCAGACAGACAGAGAGAGACATAAGACAGAAAGCAAGAAATCACCCCCCAGGGAGGATGGTCACGCCGCATTCCCTTCTCCTCCATTCTCCTCTCAGGATCCTGGGCACAGGCGCACATGTGCCCGGCGTGAGTTCTAAGCCACCAGGTCCAGGACACGAACTGTGGTCGACTACGTGGGAATCCAGCGACAAAGCCATTACGCTAACTGCTGGTTCCCAACCACTCTTGATCTTGAGCATGCTTAGTAACTACAATACATTTCCCTTGCAGCTCTCTCCCTCTTTTTTTATACAGCTCTTTCAAACCTTTCGCACTATCCTAATAACTTTCAATCCTACCACCTTTTCCTTACTCCCAGACCACAGAAACCTGCTCACCCTAACTACCATATCTCCAACCTTTGCTTATGCCTGTACTCACACTTTGCTTCAGCCTTCTTACTACAATGAATGATATGTTCCCACATCCTTTACAAGGTTCGTTCTAGTATCTGTGCTTAGGGTCACAGTGCCTTTTACTTTCTTGGATCTCCTTTTAGCCATAGTTTCACTTTCCTTTATTTTCAGTTCTTTCTTCTACCATCAGCCTTAAAATATACTCAAAACTCTCCATCTTCTCTCCATGTGCCATCATTTCCTCACTGCTCTTCCACTTGATCTTCTGAAATCTGGCTTTGGCCTCCAATTCAAATGAAACTGTTCTCACCAAAGGCACTAACAATCTCTTTCCACAAAGGCCAGGACATAATTTGGTCTTAACTGTATTCACACTTGTCAAGCATCTGACTCTGTTGATTCCCTCCTCCTTAAGCACTGTCCTTTGGTTCTCCTTATGACCTCTCTGAGCTCTTCCTCTCCTACTACAGATCTTTCTGCCTTTGATCCTTCCTTTAAGCTTGTTACTCAATCCAGAGGTGCTGCGATAGACCCTCTTCCCTCCTCACTTTCACCTTTTCCACAAGTGAATTTTTTCCTACTCCAGTGATTTCCTTTTCTTTTTTAAAAAAAGTATTTATTTATTTAATTCCATTTGTTGTTATTACTATTTTTTATTTTTTTTTTATTTTGACCAGACAGAGACAGAGAGAGAGAGAAAGGGAAAGTGAGAAAGGAAGACACCAGGTCCAGGATTTGAACCTCAGTTGGCCATGTGGGAATCCAGCACCCTTAACCACCTTAACCACCATCTTCAACTTGAAGATTCCTACATCTTTATTTTCACCTCTTTCCTGGATTTTAGACCCCACATATCCAGTCTACTGAATAACTTTACCTAGGTGATCTACAGCTCCTAAAATTAAAAATGTCCAAAGCTAGGCTCCATGTTTTTCTGCTGAAAGCTATTCTTTCTATTCTGTTACCAATCCCGCTTTGACTCCGTGGAATGGCACCAACCCCACTTAGTTACCAAAAGAAAGCTAGATAGCCTTGAACTCTTCTTCCTCTTAGCTTCCCCCCCTCCTGCCTCCTAAATTATTCATCTCTAAATTGTGGGGATTTTGTCCCTCAAATCCATCCACTTCTATCTCCACTTCATCCTAATTTAAGCCACCATCTTTTCTTTACTTTTTTAGATTACTGTAATAGCATCATGGCTGGTCTCCCATATCTAGATTGCAAAGTTTCTAATCTGGGCCAGCAGGTGGTATATTGGTTAAGGCACTGGATCCCACATGGCTCACTCCACAATTCAAATTCCAGACCTGCCACCTTGAAAACATGCCAGGTGCATGTGAATTTAAGCCCAAATCCCAAGAGGAGAACGGAAAAGGGACTGTTGCAGGCCATCCTCCCTCAGGAGAGATTTTTCACTCTCAGTGGGTTTCTACTGTTTTGGGGATCAAATACGCTACTTTGGCTTAAATGGCTTTTGGTGACTTGGCTCATGCTTATCTCTCCGGTCCTATCTCTTGGTACCTTCTTCCTTGTGCTCTCTATTCCAGAGTTATTGGACTTCTTTTCTGTCCCTAATCACTCTTTCTCTTACTTTTAGGTCTTCAAATATACCATCTCTTCTAAACGAACACATTTCTTTTGTTCCTTCCTCACCCCATTGAGAGTAAAACTGCAATATCACTTCCTCCAGGAAGCTTTCTCTGATCCTCCTATCCCAAACAAAACAAAACAAGCATAGGTTAAGGGCATTATCTCCTCTGTACTCCTACAGCTCCCTGAATGTCCCCATCAAAGCACACTGTACACTAAACCACAGCTGCTGAATTGTCCTTCTTCCATCTCTGCTCTTTAGGTCATAAGCTTCACGTGAACAAGAATCTCCTGTACTCCAAGCCACTGAAATTCCATGACCTGAAGCAGTGCTTGACAAAATGGCAGATGGCTAAAAATTATTTTGAATAATGTTTTGAAATAAGTAATCACATTAGTTGTGTGGAAGAAATGGTATTAGGGAAGAAGTGGTATGTGAGTTGGAACTCAAGGCATGGGTTTGACCACAGAGATGATGGACAGACAGTCCCACCCAAAGGACCTACAAAAGCAGAAGCAAGAAAGACATGGCTTTGGGCCAGCAGGTAGAATGGCAGTTGAGGTGTTAGACTCCCAGAGGGCCAACTGCGCTTTGACTCCCAGACTTGGCAGCTTGCCTTCTTACTTCCCTCTCTCTCTATGTCTCTCTCTAGTCAAATTAAAAAATAATAATAATAGGAATCAGCAGATAACATATCACTGGACTCCCACATGGCCAACCGCTGTTCAAGTCCCAGCCCGGTGACTTGAAATCACGCTGGGCACGTGTGTGTGTATGCCCAAGATCCTAGGAGAATAATGGAAGAGAAAGGATTACAGTGTGGCCATCCCCACTGTCGGGTAATTTCTCATTTTCTCTCTATCTTTGTCTCTCTCTCTCTCTCTCATGGCAATAACCTCTAAAAATAATAATTATAATAAATAAAGTAAACAATTTAAAAAAGAAAGACATGGCTTCAAGGTTAGGTTCATGAGGGTACATGAAAGAGACTGAGAATAGAAAATTGAAAAGATGGATTACAGATCCACATATTTGAATTAGGTGCAATTATTTTTGCAGCCTTAATAAAATGGTAGCCAAAATGTTTCCAATTAAATTCTGAAATATATCAAAGTTGGACCAATAAAGTTTTCCTAAATAAATGTAAAAGCCCACTACTTCCCATATGTGGTGCCAGATTTGATGCATCTGTTTTACCTTGTGCTTTTTCAGTGTATCCAGATCATGAGCAGCATCTTGTGATCCTGTAAGAAATAAATCATATCACCTTGAAAATAAATACAATTACCTTGGCTTTTACATAATTTTTCACAACAATTCTGTTATTTATGTACTTATTTATTTTTAAAACCCAACAATTCAGGAAGACCTAAGTCCAATTTTCTGAGGGGCAATTTGGTAATATTCCATTAAAAAATATTCATTGTTTATATACTCTTGGACTTGGAAATCTAATTTCTAAGAATTTGTTTTTAAAAGTTATAGATGGGGGGCCAGCAGGTGGCATGGTGGTTAAGGTGCTGGACTCTCATATGGCCAACTGTGGTTTGAGTCCCAAACCTAGTGACTTCCTTTCTCACTCCCCTTCCCCCACCCCCCATCTCTCTCTGGTAAGCACATGTGCCCTGTAGCAAATTTTAAAATAATAATGATGATAAATAAACATTAAGTAAATAATTCTTTTTTAAAAAAAGTTGTAGATGGAGACAGTGGCAGCATGATGTTTAGAGAGCTGGACAACCATATAGCCAACCAAGGTTCAAGTCTCAGACCTAGCAGCTTGCTTTCTCACTTTCCCTCTCTCTTTCTCGGTCTCTCTCTGGTGAGTGCACATGCTCTACAGCAAATTTAATAATAATAAAATAATTCTTTTTTATGAGATAGATTTTTGCTACAGGGCACGTGCACTCACCCGAGAGACAGAAAGCGAGAAATCACCCCCTTGGGGGGGGGGGGGGTGCGGCAATGCCTCAATCCCTTCTTCTCCATTCTCCTCTCAAAATTTTGGACATGGGACCAGCAGTTAGTGCAATGGCTATGTCGCTGGACAACCACGTAGTGGACCGCGGTTCGAGTCCCGGACCCAGCAGCTTAAACTCACGCTGGACACATGTGTGTGCATGCCCAAGATCCTGAGAGGAGAATGGAGGAGAAGGGATTGCGGCGTGGCCATTCCCCCTGGGGGGTGATTTCTCGCTTTCTGTCTGTCTCTCTCTGTCTGGCGAGCGCACGCACCCTATAGCCAAAAACCTCTCCAAAAAAAAAAGATTTGGGGCATGAATGCACATGCGCTGGCATGAGTTTTAAGCTGCCGGGTCCAGGACTTGAACCATAGTTGGCTAAATGGTAGTCTAGTGATGTAACCATTACACCATCTGCTGGTTCCATAAAATTAAGTAATTCTTTAAAAAAATAAAAGTTGCAGGTGTTGCAAAGATTAGCTATAAAGATGTTTATCAGTATTATTATTTGTAATACAAAAAAATGAAAACAACCGAAACAAAATTATCTAAAAGACCAGTAATAGAGATTATGTTAAATAAAAGATGATATAACTATGTAGTCAAATAATACTGACATCAGCATTATGAGATTTAAGAAATATAGAAGACAGACCAGCAGGTGGCAATGCGGTTATGTTGCTGGACTAGCATATGGCCAATGGTGGTTTGAGTCCTGGACTCGATGGCTTAAAACTCACATTAGACTCATGTGTGTGAGTGCCCAAGGTCCCGGGAGGAAGGACCAGCAGTTAGCATAATGGCTATGTCGCTGAACTCCCTCCTATGTAGTCGACCGTGGTTCGAGTGCCAGACTCGGTGGCTTAAACTCACGCCGGGCAAGTGTGCATGCATGCCAAGATCCTGAGAAGAGCATGGAAGAGAAGGAATTGCAGCATGACCATCCCCCGGGGGGTGATTTCTCTCTTTCTTTCTCTCTCTCTCTCTGTCTTTCTGGCGAGCACACATACCCTATAGCAAAAACTTCTCAAAAAAAGAAAAAAAAAATTAAAGAGAAAAAAAAGTGATAAATGTTGGTGTGGATGTGGTGAAAAGGGAACCCTCCTACATTGTTGGTGGGAATGTAAACTGGTTCAACCACGGTGGAGAACAATATGGAGGTTCCTCAAAGATCTCCAAATAAAATTACCATTTGATCCAGCAATCCCACTTCTGGGTATCTACCCAAAGGATAGATACAGCATTATTCACAATTGCCAAGACATGGAACCAACCTAAATGTCCACAAACTGAGGAATGGATTGGAAAAGTGTGGTATATATACTCTATGGAATACTACTCAGCCATAAAAAATAACAAGACCCTGGCATTTGATAGAAAGTGGTCAGATATGGAGGATCTATTGCTGAGTGAAGTAAGCCAGGCTATGAAAGAAAAATATTGTATGTATCCACTTAATATATACTGACTATCCACACTCTATGGTAGAGAGCAAAATATTGGAGGACATAAAAGCAGTGAAAGTACTTAATGAGAATAGGACAGTGTGGAATGGGGGGGGTGAAGAGAAGAGGATAGAGAAAGACAGCAAGAGAGCAAATAGAGAGGCAGAATGTTAGCAGGAAACAGATATGGCTTATTACCTGTTGATGATGATGTGTATAGTATTCTCAAATGGATTGGTCTGAGAAGT